TATGCAAATTGATTCACATCTGTGATCTCATTTAATCCTCAGAACAACCCCCATGAAGGGCATTGTTTCCCCATCTTTAATAAGGAACCCAAATTTCACAAAGGTCAAGACCAGAGTCATGCACAGAGTAGGTACCCTGGCTGGGACTATAAATCCAGGTCTAGGGCCGGCCGAGTGGCGCATTGGTTAAGAGCTGGTTTGGGAGCACGAGCTCTGAGCAGCAGGGCTGCCAGTTCGATTCCCACATTGGCCAGTGATGCTGCACCCTCTACAGCTAAGATGGTGAACAACAGCTTGACCTGGAGCTGGGCTGCCATGAGTGGCCAGTGACGGCATAGGCTGCAGTAGGGCAGCAGTGGGCTACCATAACCGTGAGCGGGCCGGCAGCCAGTGTGAGCCGCTGTGAGCCACCATGAATGGCCGTCCAATGGCCAGTGAACGATCTGCTTCAGCCGGGAAGAGCGCAATGATAATACCAACATGGGCCAGTAAAGCGGCGTCCTCCACAACTAGACTGAAGAACAAAAGGACAGCAACTTGTCTCTTCCCCTTCCTCGATTCCCCAGTGCTATTCCCTCCCCCAATTCCCCAATAAAAATCTTTAAAAACAAACAAACCCAGGTCTGCAGGTTCCAAATCCAATGCACTTTCTTTTGGAAATAGCCAACATTCTAAGGACCACAGAGTAGAAAGATGGACAGAACCGATCCCTGAATTAACCAAGTCTTAATCCATCTCACTTCTGAATTCCTACAGGGAAAATATATTTTCCTTATGATGTAAGCCATGTTCAGCTGGAATAGCAGGAGAGAGTTAGAGTGGATGATAGAACTATATCCTTAATGTGGTCCTGGTTACACATAGATATACATATATTAAAAGTCACACAACTAAAAGAAACTATAAGAGGTAAATATAGCATAATGTTAAGATTTTATAAACCTGAGTAGTCTATTCTTATCTATATGTTTGAAATATTTTACAATAATAATAAAAAGACCAAAAAAGAAGAGGAAGAGGAGGAGAAGGAGGAGAAGACATTGGAACAATGTCTGTTTAGATGCAATGGCTGGAGCTTCTGCAGCCATTTTGCAACCATGAAAGAAGCCAGTGTGAGGGTAACTCGGAGACACTAGGATGGCAGAACAGAGAGATGGCAATATGGTAAATGTCTGTTAACTGATTAATCAACCAGCACCTCAAAACTGCCCTCTCTCTGGACTTCCTCTCTGAGATAATAAATATGCTTATTGTTGAAGCCAATATGAACTGGGGATTTCTGTTACTTGAAGATATTATCACTCATACAGAGTGGAGAGTCAGATCTGAAGCAGTGGGGAACCCCCATGGCCAGTGGCAGAGGGTGTGGGGGTCACTGATGGTCTCATCTGGATTTGGCTGGGTGTGAGCCATCAAAGGGGAGCCAGTGGGGGTGGCTTACTCATATACTTGCTAGTTGGGTTTAAGATTCTGATTTTGTGGCAAAAAGTCACAGTCATGTGAATTTCTCCTTCATGCTCCTTTCCTGTCTGACACCCTCACAGACGCAATATCTGTCCAGGCCCAGGGGACTCAGGGATTCTGTGCAGTTAATGCTACAGGTATTCCAAACCATGTAAGATAATTTTTCAAAAATCTAAATTTCTGACAGGTCCTCAATCTATGTGCTTTGGCTGCTACTTAGCTATCTTCCTTATACAGATACAGGCTCTGAGGGCCCAGGAAGGTAGAGCTGGGGTGAGGACCCAGTGGGACAAGTTCTCCTGGCAACTGCCCCAAGAAGGGGGAAGAAGGCTTCTCTCCAGGAAAGGCGGTGAGAACTTGACAGGGACATAACTGCTCTGTGCCTCAGTTTCCTTCTGTCCAAAATGGAGAAAAACCATCCCTCCCTCATGGGTTGTTTCTAAGCTTGGAAAAAAATATATATGTAGTGTCTGGCATGTAGTAGATGCTGTAGATAGCCACTGTTTACAATTTTTTTAAAAAAAGATTTTCATTAAAATATAGCTAACATACAATATTAAATTACTTTCAGGTGTACACCACAGTAATTCAACATGTATATACCTAGAGAAGTGACCACCATGATAAGTTCAGCAACCATTTGACACTGTCCCACGCTATCACGGTATTACTGGCTTTATTCCCTATGCTGTACATTACATCCCCATGACTTATTTGTTTTATTCCTGGAAATTTGGACCTTTCATTCCCCTTCACCTTCCCCCCCCCCTTTTAAATTCTTCAATTACAGTTGACATTCAATATTATTTATAATAGTTTCAGGTGTACAGCATAGTGGTTAGACATCTATATAATTGACAAGCCTAGTACCCACCTGGCACTATAGGTAGTTACGACCATATTATTGACTATATTCCCTATGCTTTGTTTTATATCCCCATGACTATTTTGTAACTACCAATTTGTACTTAATTCCTTCACCTTTTCACCCTGCCCCCGAATCCCCCTCCCATCTGGCAACCATCAGCTTGTTTCCTGCATTTATGAGTCTGTTTTTGTTTTGTTTGTTCGTTTATTTTGTTCTTTAGATTCTACATATGAGGTCATATGGTATTTGTCCCCTGTCTAACTTACTCCACTTAGCATACTACCTTCCAGGTCCATCCATGTTGTCACAAACGGTAAGATTTCATTCTTTTACATGGCCAAGTAATATTTCATTGCATAAATGTACCACCTCTCCTTTATCCAATCGTCTGTTGATGGACACTTAGGTTGCTTCCATATCTTGGCTATTGTAAACAATGCTGCAGTGAACGTATAGATGCATATATTATGTCAAATTAGTGTTTTGGATTTCTTCAGAAGTGAAATTGCTGGGTCATAAGATAGTTCTATTTTTTATTTTTTGAGGAAGCTCCTACTGTTTTCCATAGTGGCTGCACCAATTTGCAATCCCACCAACAGTGCATAAGCGGTCCCTTTTCTCTACATCCTCCACTGTTTTCATTCTTAAGCAAACCAGGAGGATTCTTGTTGTTGTGATGGGGGCAGGAAGGGAGATCTTTTTAGAAACAGGCAAAGAGAAGAAGAAGAAGAAAACAACAACTCAGTAGGTCTCACGTCCTCCAAGCTCAGGGGGCTTCATTAAACTTTCATAAAATCAGAGTCATGGAGACAGGGTGCCAGGGGGCTGATGGGGACCCAGCAGGAGAGAAGCTGGCCTTCCCCTCTGCAGGCCCACCCCTCCTCTCATCACCATGGAGACCAAGCTGGCTGCCTGGCAGGGTTCCCACCCACCGAGGGCCTGAGGCTGCTGCAGAGGGAGGGGCAGGAGCTGAGCAGACAGAGACCCGTCTGGAAAGCTGAGGTTGGGGGAGAATGTCTCTGTTACCACGTCCCCCCCTTCTAACCCCCAAGGCGCTGAAGGACTCAGGCTAGTGGGGGATGTGTCTGACATCTGAATCCCAGCCCTGCTAGCAGTTAGCTGTGTGACTGTGGGAAGAACACTTCCCCTCTGGAAGCCTCAGGTCCCACATCTGTCAAAGGAAAGGGTAACAAGAATAAAAACAAAAGCTCCATGAGGAAAACTGTGGGATGAGGAAGCAATGAAATACGGTGAATGTAGGATTTTTAGCGTTGGGGGAGAACGTTCACTACATAATGTTTCAACGTTATTGAAAAAAGGGAACTTGACAAAACTGACCAGTGCGATCCTATTTTTATTTGTTAAAGAAAAACGAACACCCTCTTTATGCTTAACAAAAAACGAGTTGGGGGAGAAATACTCACACTTCCATTTGCTGACTCTGGAATTGCACCTAATTTTTATCCTTTTGGTTCTTTCTCAAATTTTGGTCAATGAACATGGATTTAAAAATCAGAGTGACATTTGTGTGCTTATTAGGCAGGGGCAGTGCGCTAAGTGCTTTACATGATTTAAAACACTTTCTGTCTTCACAATCATTCAGGGAGGGAGGGGACTCTGATTATCCCCCCTTTACAGAAGAGGAAATTGAAGTTCAGGGAAGTTAAGAGTCTTGACCAAAGTCAAACTGCCAGAGAGTAGCAGAGCTAAGATTTAAAATCACAGCTAAGACACTGGACTCCAAAATTCAAGCATTAAATTACTGCCTTTCAGGATAAGAAAATGCTAGCGGTTCTGTTTTCTTCAATGTTTTACTATGGAAAATATCAAGGAAATCAAAAGTAGGAAGACAAATATACCGGGGGTGCCAAAAAAATGTGTACAAGTGGACGCTTTGGTCAATGTTGCTCAAGCAGTCGTTCACCGCACTCAGAAGTGTCTGCACACTGATCGTCACCACTTTGAGCACCTCTTGTAATTGCAGAGGTCAACCGTGACTTGTACTCATTTTTTGTTATCGGTGTATATTGAGTATTACAATTTTAATACAGTTTTCCTTTCTTAAAATGGGTATATATTTTGTTGGCACCCTCTGTATATACTTCAGTTTAAAAAATGTGTAAGCTCTGGGGATCTAATGTGAAGCCTGGTGACTATAGTTAAGAATACTACACTGTAGGCTCGGAATTTGCTAAGAGAGGAAGTCTGAAGTGTTCTTACCCCACACCAAAAATAAGAACTGTGAAATGCCGCGTGTGTTCATTGGCTTTGTGTGGCAATCATTTCCACAATGGTGACATATATCAAATCACATTGCATCCTTGAAATATATATCGTTTTATTAGATATGTCAATTATTCCTCAGTAGAATCAAAAAATTAAGAAATACATAATGAACACTAATGTGCACACCATCCAGCTTCAAGGAAGTCCTTAGATGCAGGGCTTTGAGCGGGGACGCAGGGAGGAGGATACAGCGCTTTGAGAAGGGAACGGCGCCCAGAGTCAGAGGCCCCAACTTACACACACACACACACACACACACACACCCCTCCCAGGCTTCGCTTTCGGCTCACTTCTGGGCCTGTGGCCCCAACCGCAGTGGGGAACCACAGGCCGCCTTCCTCCCCCTCTCCCGCCCCCACCCAGGCTTCTTCCTCCTTTCTTCATTCTAGTGAGCTGCGTTTCCCCAGCCTGCTCATTTATAGGTCCCTGGTTCCCTGCCAAGGCCTCGAGGCTTTGGCAGCTCGGGAGCACGAAGACATGGCCAGGGGACCTGACAGTATGCTGAGCTGGGCAACCCTGGTGGTGCTGGCTGCCCTGGGCACAGCGGTGACAGCGACCACCAACCCTGGCATTGTGGCCCGGATCACCCAGAAGGGCCTGGACTACGGTAATCGGATGCCTTCCTCCCTTTCCTCTCCCACCCCTGAGGGGCGTTTATTGAGCACCTGCTATGTGCAGCCCTTTAAATCCAGTGCATGGCATGCTCACAGCTCATCAAAGTAGGCCTTTCTCACCCTGTGTTACATATGAAGACCCTGAGGGAAGGCGAGCTGCCCTAGATCACAGGTCTAGGAAGTGGCGGTGCTGGGCCTGGAGGACTGAGGCCTCTGGGGGTCCTCACAATCCCCTCCTCCTTCCCTCTACCCAAGCCCCAACTTGAGCTTTCAGGCTCTTTGCTTCTTCCAAAGCTGGTTCTCAGCCCTGACATTTGCCTGGAGATCACTAGCTCTGTCTTCAGCATGAGCATAACTCAGGTTTTGAGGAGGTTGAACAGGGGAACAGGGAGAGTGTCGGGGAGAGGGCCCTTCTTAAGGGTCTCCTTCAGGGCAGGGGTTTAGAAGCCATTCTGTGCACACTACCCATCTGGGAGTCCCAGAGGGGGTCCCCCAGTCCACTCATCCTGGCCCAGATAGAGGACAGGAGCAGGAAGCAGCCCTGCTGACCCTCCCAGATCTGTGCTAGGCACTGTTCTGAGAGCTTTACACACACCATCTCATTTCATCGTCATGTCACCCCTGGGTGGGATGTATTGCTATTAGCAACATTTGCACATGAGCAAACCGGAACTTGGAGAAGGTACTGGGTAGGCCAGGGGGCAGCCTGGATTTGAGTTGGTCTCATCTGATGGCCCAGTATGAAGCTGCTCAATGCTGCCTCCCAATGGCAGAAAGGCAGAACAGTGGGGCATAACCAGCCCCAGAGAAATCCCACGGAGGAAAAGGCAGAGCCTTATCCACTGGTGTATCACTGGGGGCGTCAGGTCAGGATTCAGAGAGACCTGGTCTATCGTCCCTGAATTCTACCCCAGCCCAGGCAAGACATCTCTGAATCTCAAGGGGACAGACAGAAAGGTCCACATGAGCTAGATGAAAGGAGCTCAGGCCCTGTTCTGAACACAGTGCTGGGGTTGCTGGGAAGGCTTCATGGGAACAGAGACTTGGGCTCAGACTTTAAATCCAGAAATCTTCGGAGTCTGCCACGGCAGACTCAGTTTCCCCGTCTACGCACACCCCATGTAACAACCACAGTGGCTTTTCTGAAATGCTCACGTGTTTCTCCTTACTTACACTATTCACGGGTTCCCCCGGGCCCTCAGAAGATGTCTAGGCCCCTAGGCACAGCATTCGAGACCCTTCAAGGCCTGGCCTCTGCCGACCCATAGATCCCAGCCATCCTACGTTTTCTTTCCCCTCCACACAGTGACAAGGTGTGCGTTGCTTACTTTTGAGCCCCCCAAAAGGCCTATCCCGGGGCACGGGTTCTGGGGCCCAAAGGCCTGGATTCAAATCCTGCCTCCGTTACTTGTCAGCTGTGTGGCCACCTTTCTGAACCTCATCTTCCTCATCTGAGAATTGGGGGTGGTAATGGACCTATGTCCTAGGATTGTTCAAATTCAGTAACTTAATACATGCACAGAGCCCAGAACAGTGCCTGGCACAGACTCAGAGCTTAAAAAATGTTTATTATTACTATTATTATTATTATTATTATTAGTTCCTAACTGGCTCTTGAAAAACACAAAGCCTGGGATCCCTCGTTTTACTAATTACTCCTTCTCAGGTAACATTTGCCTATTAATTGGTTCATTGAGGCCATTAGCCACATAATAACTGGTGGTAGAATTCCTGACATTAGGGCATTCACTCATTTATTCATCCAACAAATAGTAAGTGCCTTCTAATATTAAGTGCCAGTCACTGTGGTAAGTGTAGGAGACGTTTATTTACGTTAGTAAATAAAACAGACATTGCCACTAACCTTGGGGGGAGAGAGAGAGATTAATTAAGAAATCACATGAATAAATGCATAAGTACAAACAGTAATGGGCTCTCCAAAGGAGGTGCCCACAGCATGGTAACCAGGGGTTTGCTCTCATCTGCTGGGTCAGAGAAAGTTCCCAGAGGAAGTGATGATCCAGTTGACTAGATGTTGACCCGATGAAGTAGCGGGGGAAGGGCTTCCTAGACAGTAGGAACGGTACGTGCAAAAGTCCTGTGAGGAGAGAGTCCAAAAGCCGGAGAGATGGAATATTTGTGAGGGCGTTGCACAGAACTAGGCACAGAGTAGGTCTTCAGTAAATACCCACAGGATGCATGATTGGGTGTTTGTGGGGGTGATATTTAGGGGCTGGCAACCTGCAGCCCACAGGCCAGATCTGGGCCACTGCATGTTTTTGGATAGCCCATTAAATGGTTGAAATACGTCAAAAGAAGAAGCATATCTCACAGTATGTGAAAATGATATGAAATTCAAATGTCAGTGTTCATAAATAAAGTTTTATTGGAACACAGCCATACCCATTCATGTACATATTGTCTGTGGCTACTTTTCGGGCAATAACCGCAGAACTTAATGGCTGCGACAGAGACAGTAGGACTCACAGAACTGAAAATATTTACTACCTGGCCTTTGACAGAAAATCTTAGCTTTAGACCTTTTGCAATCCCACTGTCCCTGCAATGGACAGGGGCAAAGGCCCAGAACCTGGGCCGGCCGAGTGGCACGATGGTTAAGAACTCGCTTGGGATGCCAGAGGGCCCCGGTTCGGATCCCACATGTGAGGGCCAGTGACACTGCCCTCTACAGCTAAGATGCTGAACAACAGCTCAACCTGGAGCTGGGCTGCCATGAGTCGCCAGCGACGGCATAGGCTGCAGCCCCTGTGGCAGTGGGTTGCCATGGGCTACCGTGTGTAGTCAGCAGCCAGCGTGAGCGGCCAGCAGCCGCAGTGAGCAGCTGTCCAGAAGCCGGCGACTGATCTGCCTCGCCCAGGAAGAGCACAATGATGGTGCCAACTTGGGCCAGTGAAGCAACGGCCTCCACAACTAGACTGAAGAACAAAAATGACAGCAACTTGTCTGTTCCCCTTCCCCCAATTCCCCAGCGCTGTTCCCATCCCCACAATTCCCCAATAAAAAAAAAATCTTAAAAAAAAAAAAAGGCCCAGAACCTGCCCTGATCTGCCAGCCCAGGCTTCCAGGCTCTGCCTCTGACCATTACCCTTGCTCTCTCCCCTCAGCCTGCGAGCAGGGAGTGGCCGCGCTGCAGAAAGAGCTGCAGAAGATTGAGATTCCATCCTTCTCAGGAAGCTTTAAGATCAAGCATTTAGGGAAAGGTGAATATAGCTTCTACAGGTAAGGCCCGCTGAGCTCAGCCCTCAGTATGCAGGACTTTGCAGTATTCTGGGGCCAGCAAGGTCTAGAATTGCAGAGCCACAAACTCCTAAACTCAGAGAGATTAGGATCTCAAAGCTAGTTTTTACATCATCCCAGGGAGATACAATCCCCCAAGCTGAGCATGGAGGAAGCCACGAAAGCTGTCTTTCAGGCATTTACCATAACTCCCAGGGGGATGTCATGAACCCCAAAGCTGTGTGCCAGGCCCATATATCAATTAGGATTTGGAGGAGGGGGTTCAAGGACAGGAAACCTAATCCAAAACTGCCTAAGCCAGAATTTATCAGCTCACATGACTGAGATGTCCCTGGAGTAGTCTGGCATTGGGTTCAGCCTGAGACAAGATCAAATATCATTGGACCTTGTTTCTCTCTTGCCATTTCTCAGTATCACTTACCTTGGGGAAGTCTAATTCTCAGCGAGGATGTCCCCTCCAAAGGGCAAGATGGCCACCAGCATCTCCTCAGCACTGCCAGTTCTGTGGAAGGACAGCACCTTCTCCTTGCAACTCAAGCAAAAACCCTAAGATTCACTCTGATTGGTCCATTTTAGGTTATGTACACACTCCTGAACCAATCACCGTGGCCAGGGGAATAGAATATGCTAATTAGCTTATACCCAAGTCATAAGCTCCACCCCTGAGGGTGGAGCTGAAATCAACTTTCTTTGGAGCAACATGGCATATATGTGGGGAGGAGGTTTCTCCAAAGTGAAACGACAGCTCTATTACCACAAGAAGAAGGTGTGGATGCTGGGCAGACAACCCATATATGTCCCACAGAGAATTTTATACTCCTGTTCACTCAACAAATATTTTTGAGCACCTACTATATGTCTGACACAGTAGGCTTTGCTACAATAGTTAAAAAAAAAAAAGACAGACACATTCCACCCTTTACAGAGCTTATAGTCAATGAGATAAGATGTGTTACCTTCATTGATAGTCATAGACCCTGCAAGATAGAGATTATTGCGCCCGTTTTACAAATGAGGAAACCGAGGCTCAGGATGATTAAGTGACATGCTCAGGATCACACAACAGTAAACTGAAGAGCAGGATTCAAATGCAGATTTGTCCGACTTCAAAGCCTAGCCACTCTGCCCAATGCCCACCGAGTTCCCAAGGATGCTCTCATAGCTTCTGGGCTGTCCTGGGATGGATGAGGTGAAGGGCTGGGGTGGGGGTGGGGTGAGTTTACATTAACCATTGACCAAGTCCTTGTGTGGGCTCCCAGGAGGCTAACTGAACATTTCTTCTTTGCAGCATATCTATCCGTGAAGTCCAGTTTCCCAGCTCCCAGCTAAAACTAGTGCCCAATGAGGGCCTGCAACTCTCCGTGACAAATGCCAATATCAAGATCAGCGGAAAATGGAAGGCACGAAAGAATTTCTTGTGCGTTTCCAAGGTTGGGGTTTGTTGAATGTACAGGTGAACTCTTGGTGGTACTGGAAGGAATGAGAACCAGGGTCTCAGGAATGCCCAACGTTTACTTTGCCCATCACGACTTGTCTCCACAGGGTTCCTGGGGGAATTTTTCACATAAGTAGACTCAACATAACCCTTGGTTAATAGTTGAACATTTGTCTACGTCTCAGTGCAGGACACTGGCAAGGCTGACTTGGTACCATGTGCCTTAGGATGGAAGAATAACTGGTACCTTTAATTTACCCCTTTATCAGTTAGTTATATTGTTGTGTAAAAAACATCCCAAACTCAGTGGCTTAAAGCGAGTCATATATTATCACGTACATATCTGTGTGTCGGTTGGGGTTTCCTGATCCAGGTTGGGCTCAGCTGAGGCAGCTGAGCTCTACCTGTACCTCCTCCTACTCCCTGGATCAGTGAGCTAGCTAGAGCATGTTCCTGGTGATGACAGGGATGCAAAAAAAGCAACCAGAAACATGCAGATTCCCTTAAGGCCTAGACTCAAAACTGGCCCATCGTCACTTCTAGTCATATGCTATTGGTCAAAGCAAGTCATGTGGTCATGCCCAAAGTCAAGAGCATGGCAATGCACCATTCCCCCAACACAGGCAAGAACAAGGGTATGGATGCAGGGAAAGGTGAAAAATTGAGGCAAATCATTCATACCTCCACTCTGAATCTATATATTGGGCTCTCACTACAGTGACCCTATCCACTAGTGATAGTGGCATGGACTGGCCAATCACTTTAGCAACTTCTTTGTGGGGAATCCGGGAAGAAAATGGAGGAGAAGGCACTTTGGTAAGGATTAGACTGTGAATCTGCCCTCCCTTACAAGGACCACTGGGTCTGTCTCTTCCCCACAATAAGAATTGCTTAACTCTTCACTTGGACTCTTTTGCATCTCATTTCACTTATTGGTCACACAAAAATAACAATATTTCATCACATTATAGAAGAGCTGACAAACTACATTCCTGTTCACTGCTTTATCCAAAATGCATTTTCATCTCTGAGGGAGGGGTTATTAGCCCCATTTAATGAACAATGGCATTCATTAATTGAAGTCATTGGCCCCAAACACCCAGCTTTTTAGTGGCAAAGCTGGTGCCTACTTCAGATCCAGGGTCCGGGTGAGGAAACTGAAGCTCAGAGAGGTTAAGAAACACCCCCAAAGCCACACAGAATGGACAGAGTCTGAGGCAGTGGGTAAAAGCAGGTTCCTGCCAGGAGGACATGGGTTGAAACTTCAGGTTGGAATCCTGGCTCTCTTGCTCAGCTGCTGTGTGACCTTGGGCAAGCTGCCTCCCTCTCTGAACTCTATCTCCTCACCTGAAGTGGGGATAATAGTAAAACCTACCTTCCAGCACTGGAGTGAAGTTCGAATGGCAGTGGGAAAGAAGGTGCTTGGCCCAAGCCTTTTCTCTTTGTCTCCCTTCAGTAAAACCAGTGGCAACATTGACCTGAAAGTGGAGGGCATCTCCATTTCTGCTGGTCTGAACCTGAGCTGTGATCCCACCTCTGGCCAATCCACCGTCACCTGCTCCAGCTGCAGTAACCATATTGACAGAGTCGACGTGCACGTCTCAGGCAGCAGCCTGGGGTATGACCTCCTGGGGTTGTGGATGGGAGGAGGGATCATCCCCCATATTCAGAAAACACATCCCAAGCACCACCTCCATGCCAGGCCTTGTTCAGAGACCTCGGGTGTAGGGGAAAGGACGGGATTCCACAAAGGATGTGGACACTGTCCCTACCTCAAAAGGTCACTCGTTCATTCAACATGCAGTCAGCTGACTTGACTGAGCACTTGCTGTGCCCAAGCTCTGGGCTATAAACACTGTATGTGCCTAACTAAGTTATACATTCCTCACCACAAAGTGATAGGCATTCACCCATCCATCCAGGCAACAGGTATCGACTAAGAATCCGCAATGCCCAGGCTTGTGCAGCATGTGCGGGGAAGCAGCAGTGGCCCATAACAATTTAACAATAGCTAACAGCAACTGGAGGCTTCCGGTGTGCCCAGCACCGTATTAAGCACGTCTCTTATCCCATTCAATCCACACAATGACTATGAGGCCAGTCTATTATTGTCATTTGCAGGGGAGGAAACCAAGGCACAGAAAGGACAGGCAATAACCCGAGTTTTCATACCTAGTGAGCACTGAGAAAGGATTCAGCCCAGGACTACGTGGCCCCAGGCCCTTGGCCACACAGCCCCCGTTCTCTTCACCTTTCCAGTCCAGTGGGGAAGATGAACATTAATCAAACCATTACGTTCATGAGTAGCTCACAAAGAATTTCAAAAGGATCTAAGAACTAAGAAAAAGAGGTACAGAGTGCTGCGAACACCCAGTACAGGGAGATCTGACCTAGTCTGGGGGCGTACCAGCTCTTCCTTGGTGAAAAGACATTTGAATGGAGATGAAAAGAAGAAGTAGGAGTCGATTAGGTAGATATTGAGGACAGCGGGTGTTTTAAGGAGAGGTAATAGCATGGGCAAAGGCCCTGGAGTGGGGGGGAAGCACAGGGCACAGAGGATCTGGCCGAGCAGGGTGGCTGGAATGCAGAGAAGGGGAGCAGGCAGGAATGCAGCTGAGACAGGGCAGGGGTCCAGCCGCGTCGCTAGAGAAGAAACAACCTCATAAGCAGGGAACTGCGCACAGGGTGAGAGGCGTCTAAAGGGTTGTGTGCAGTGGGAGCCCAGGGCCCAGGGTGCCTGGGCCTATTTGGAGAAGGAAGGATGGCTTCCCAGATGAGGCAGCCTCCCCAGTGCAGCTCAGGGACACCTGGGAAGCCTCATGCCTGTCCCCACATGTCAATTTCCAGGTGGCTGATCCAACTGTTCCACAAAAAAATCGAGAATTCGCTCCGAGACACCATGAGCAGCAAGGTAGGAGGGGCTTGGATCGTCCTCACCGGTCAGAGCTGGAGGGGCCTCCATGTCCACACACCTCTTGCATCACTGGACACTTCTGCCCTCAGCCAAACCTCTCCAGCCGTCCTGACAACCCTTTGAAACCACGAGTCCAGCTCTAAAATTCAGTCCTGTCTATTCTTCTGAGGAGTCTCGTGAGAGATTAAGAAAGGGTCACATCATACCCACAGCAACTCCCCTGCCCCATCCGCTTGGGCCCTTCTGTGCTCTCTCAACATCCCTGCCTGCAGAGAAACTGCCCTTCTCTCCCCCACCCACCCTGTCTTCTCATAGCCCTCAGGCCTCCTTCCCCATCCCCATCACACCCCAAACCCCCTGCGTGGTGCTCCCCACCCAGAAAACATGCAATTGATGGAGCTGCTAGTCTGGAACGTGGCTAAACTGTTTCCTGAGGCTGGAACTAGCACCAGCCAGGGCTCCAACCCTGCCTTCACCCTAATCCCCAGTCAACTTCTTCAGTGGGGTAAAGGGGCCATTCCATGGGCTGGTTTTCTATTAATAAACCGTCAGCTTCCAGGAATCCCCTGAACCTGTCTCACAAGCCCAATGAGCACGAGCTTTCTCCAGAGGGCAGTGGGGAGCCATAGAAGTTTCTAGTCAAGGGGGGGTGACCTGGCCAGATCCGTGTTTTAGAACCCTTTCTCTGGCTGCTGTGAAATGGCTAGAGGGGCCTAGATGGGGGAGGGCAGCAGTCTTGGGGAGACTGAGGAGGCTGTGCAGTCTTCCAGATGGGAGACGTTAGTTTCCCAGTCAAAGGCACCAACAATGTGGGTAGGGAGACATCAACCAGATGAGATCATTTATCTGAAGGCACTCTGTCGAAAGTTGTTGTATTTTTGTTTGTTTGTTTGTTTGTTTTTTAAAGATTTTTATTGGGGAATTGGGGGATGGGAACAGTGCTGGAGAATTGGGGGAAGGGGAACAGACAAGTTGCTGTCTTTTTTGTTCTTCAGTCTAGTTGTGGAGGGCGTTGCTTCACTGGCCCAAGTTGGCACCATCATTGCGCTCTTCCCGGGTGAGGCAGATCAGTCGCCGGCTTCTGGACGGCCTCTCATGGCGGCTGCTGGCCGCACACGCTGGCTGCTGGCTACACATGGTAGCCCATGGCAACTCACTGCAGCAATGGCCGTCACTGGCGACTCAGGGCAGCCCAGCTCGAGGTTGAGCTGTTGTTCAGCATCTTAACTGTAGAGGGCAGCGTCACTGGCCCTCATATGTAGGATCCGAACCGGGGCCCTCTGGCATCCCAAGCCAGCTCTTAAAGAACGCGCCCCTCGGACGGCCCTGTTTTTTTGTTTTTTTTTTTTAATCAGTGCATGGTTGTCAAAATGCGTAACACAGTGGATTAGAATGTCTTTAGGAGTCAGAATCTCTGGATTTTATTTCTGGCTCTAGAGCTTAACTAGCTGTGTCAACTTGAGCAAATGACTTGAACTTTCTGAACCTCATTTTCACCATCTGTTAAGTGGGGACATTGATACCTTCTTCACAAGGCTGTCGTATGGATTGCTGAGATCATGTAGACAGTGTGCTCACCCACCAGCCCGGCAGACCATGGTTCAACTGTCTCTGTAATAAAGTAATAGTGTGAGGGGAGTGTTAGGATACATTTAACATTTGGAACTATTAAAAGAGATTATTTCTTGGTAGCGCCTTAAGAGTGGCCTCTCGGTAGCAGCCAAGCTAAAAAGTAATAATTCTGCTGCTAGTGAAGATGATGGTGGTGAAGATGATGGTGGGACAGTGAGAAGGAGGGGGTACAGGATGGCCTATATAGGCCGAGTGCTTACAGTGGGCTTTGCACTATGCCAAGAACTCTTTGCAAGGATTCCAGCATTTAATCCACACAAAATCCTTATAAGAGGGGTATCATGATTATCCCCATTTTACAGATGAACAAACTGAGAGAGAGGAAGTGATAGTGTTGGGATGGAAACCCAGGACCCCCTAGCTCCAGAGGCAAAGCTCTTAGTCATAACAAGATGTTGTTTAGAAATGAGTATTGGCCTGAACGAATAAATGGACAGGTAGATACGTGAAAGAATGAATGAGGTGACAGGGTGACCATGATGCTAGGAAGGACCAGAAATGTGGAGGAGTGAGCTGGGAGTGGACCCCCAAGGAATTCAGAGTGAAAGGTGGGTATCTGAGGGAGGAGAGGGCCTGCCTGAGTCTGCGTCAGGTGTGTACGTCGGGGGTCGGGTAGGATGGAGCACGGGAAGTGGGGGCCGGCAGCAGGAAGCCAGGCTCCAGGCTGCGATGTGATTTGCTATGATTTGGAGCCATCTGGTGGCTCATGGGTAAACAGTATTGGAGGCTAGTGGCAGAGGGACAGGCAGCCCAGGAGTCCAGCTGGCCCCAGCTGCCAAATGTGCTGCACCCCTGGGCCGCTTGGAGAAGAAATACAGGCTCCTTAGAAAATAGCATTCTAATTCTCTTGGGACGCCCAGAGTCTAATGTGATAAAAACACACTCCAAGAAACCAAACTTGCTCCCCGCTTCCTCCTTTTCTTTACCCCTTCCTCCCTCCCTCCCCCAGATACAATAATTTGATTGACAGAAGAGAAAGAGGGAGGAAAGTGTGAAGGACGCCCTCTGGGCAAATGAAAGGGATGCAGCCCTGAGGAGGAGTAAGAACCTGGGGGGTTTGGTTGGGATGAGCTGGTTTTGGGGACCTGTGGCCGGGAGGCAGCAGGGCCCTCAGGCTGGAGCTCAGGGGAGAAGCCTGGGCTGCACACCGAGGTCTGCGTGTTGACCACATGTTGGGAACATGGCGGAGGCGACTTTGCTTGGGTCCACCCCACCCCCAGGCAGGTCCTGAGACAAAGTTTCGGGTGCAGGTAGTTTATTGGGAGGGGACCCCGGCAGCACAGCGAGGGGTGTGGAAGGAAGTGAGGACAGGAGTATCACTGAGTGGGCTACTGCTGTGGGCAGCTGGGGTGCAGTCCTGGGGGTGGTTCTCAGCAGAACACACGCCTCAGAACTGCCCCAAAGGGGTAAGGAAGCTGGGATATTTATCCACCAACCCTCAGCCCTCTTTGGCTGGGGCTGTTCCTGGCAGGCTTAATTCCTTGGCACTTGGGAGCAAGGGTACAGGTGACCTCCGGATGGACCACAGCGGGGGCCGTCGGATAGCATAACATGGTTCTGGGAGAGCTTGTAAGTGGAAGGAGCAGCGAGCCCAGAAGGAAGCCCGGAGGGCTCATCAGAATGTCCCTGGAAGAGTAAGTGGAGGGATAGGCAGAGAGTGGGAACTGTCCTTGGTCCTGGGACCCTAGAAGGAGTATTTCTAGGAGACAGTGATCCACCATGCCAACAGTCAGGAAAGGCAAGGACTGGAGAGGCTCCACTGGATAAATGAGGTGAAGGTCACTTGAGACTTGGGGTGAGGCTTGGAGTGAAGGTAGGGACTTATCTCACCACTCTGTTGCCCTCAACCCCAATGCCTTCAAGTTAGGTAGGGATGCCTGCGATTTTAATCCTGTTTTCCAGCTATCTATTGCTTCAAAATAAATAGCCCCAAATATGGTGTCATAAAGCAACGACCACTTTATAATGTTCATGTATTCTGTGGATCAGGAGATCAACAGACACGGTGGGGTCTGCTTAGCTCAGTGATGCCTGGGTCTCATCTGGGAAGACCCAAAGCTCAGGGCTGGCACCATCTGGAGGTGTCCTTTCGCACATCCATGATGCCTGGGCTGGGAAGGCTTGAAGGCTTGGCTCAGGTGCGAATGTTGACTAGAGCAACGACCTATGGCCTCTGCATGGAGCTGGGGCTTCTCATAGCATGTCACTAGGTCCCCAGAGAGAGCAACCAGAGAGGCAGCATTTCAAGAGACCAAAATGGAAGCTGCACAGCCTTTGGTGGCCTCATCTCTGAAGTTACACGATGTCCCTTCTGCCATGTCACTATACCCACCCGAATTCTAGGGGAGAAGTCACAGACTCCACCTTTCGATGGGGGTGTGGCAAGACTCCAGCCCAGAAGACTAAGTGGAATGGAATATATAACCTGCCACGTTTCATTTTACAGATAAAAAAAAAATTGAGTTCTAAAGAAATGGCGTAACTTTCTTAGTGGCAAAATTACCACGTGACCCAGGTCTTCCCAGACCTCTGCTTGTCCCCCTGCGAGTCATGTGAGGGGCAGGGAGGCCAGGCAGGGCTTCTCTGACCACACTCAGCAAAGGCGAGCATGCCCACGCAGACCCTAGCTCCCAGAAGCACAGATAGGAGAAGGCTGACCCCCGACAACCTCCTGTTTGTTTTTTCTCCACTTCATCCCACAAAGGATCTGAGACAACAAAAACAAACAGATAAAACAAGCAAACAAAAAAATCCTACATTAAATAATAGAAAACATAAATACTCATTAGGAAAGTTCCACACTAGAGTAGGAAATAAAATGCAGATGCACAGGTCATCCAGTCATACAGTTACTATTTCTAAGCCGCATGTTGGGCTCTGAGCCTCCTGGTAGCCGGAGAGAAAAAGGAAACTTGATTAGTTTCATGATTGTTCAAGGAAACATTCCAGGAAAGCAACATGTGTCCAGATCATTATTGCCAAAGCACATTTTCCACTATGGGCAGCCCTCACTGATCACATCTTTTGTTCTCCCCAGATCTGCCAGGTCGTGACCAGTGCTGTGTCCTCCAAGCTGGAACCTTATTTCCAGACACTGCCAGGTGAGTGCTGGGTGGTACTGAAGAGGCTAGGATAAAGGGGGGGAAGGGGAATGGAGATAGAAAGAATGTGATGGGGCCAGCAGTTTTTCCAGGCAGGCCTGGATCTGGGTGGGAATGGGTAGAATAGATTATTTTCAAATGGCAGTTAGCATTGGATCCCTTTGGCCCAGGTCCTTGGGGCAGGTACAGAAGGAGGTGGAAAAGTAGCCCACAACCACTCATTCCCTTACCCCTGCAGGGGCCAAACAACCAAACAGCTTTAGCTCTCTGAGGCCAGTCACACATAAGTGACCTTAAATTTGAGGCTGGTCATTTCACCTCCCTCCCTGGGCCTCAGTTTCCAAATCTTTAAAATGGGGACAATTCTCTCTATTCCCCAAGTGCTTGGTAAACTGTGAAGAGCTGCAGTATGTGCAGGAGGTCTGCTCTGGCTGAGTGCTTACCATGTGCCATGTACCCAGCAGAACTGTCTTCTCTTGGCTTCCCAATTTCACCACAAGGAAACTGAGGCACAGAAAGGCGCCGTGACTTGCCCAAGGTCACAAAGCCAGTAAGAAACAGAAGCAAAATCCAAATTCAGGTTTTTTTACTCCAGAACCTGTGCCTCAAACTGCTACCTGCACTCCCTCTCTGGGAAATCTGGCATGGCACGCGCAAGGTGGCATGGGCCCACTGACGATGCATTACCTTCCTCCAGGCACCACCCAGCCCCTCCAGGGACACAGCCCATCCTGGGGATGTTCAGTGCAGTTGCAGTGTCCCAGGTCTGGCCTCATCAGACAGAAAAAAAGACGCTGTCTTGAATCCTAGCTCTGTCACTTCACCAGCTGCGCCACCTTGGACAAGTTGTCATTTTTGAACCCCGAACGTGGGAAGGAGGGGCTAAAGGAGGGACCAATATTCATTCAAGTCTCATTGATTACTACTGGGAAACAGAGAAACCGTTCAGATCTGAGCCATCCTGGGTTCAGCCTGGGCTATTATCACTGCTCATACCAATGCCTTCTGGCTTTTGAGCCCCTACCATGTACAGGGCATTGGGCACACACCTTCTCATTCGCTCCTCCAGCACCTGTGAGCCACAGGTATTACCTCATTTCTACAAAGGATAAAAAGTGGCTCAGGGAAGCAAAAGGATGTGTTCAAGGTCATATAGAGTCCAATTCAAGCCCAGGTCTCTCTGCTCCTGGACACTGTGTTTCAGCCTCATCTGGGACGATGAAGTCTGTGAATATGGGGTATGGGTCCATTTTCCTTTAAAGCGAGTTCAGGATAGGCTCCCTGGAGGAGGTATGAATGGAACTAGCGCTGCAGCTCTTGATTCAACTTTAGGGGATGCTGACCCTGCATCCCAGGCCCCAAAGATGCTGCCATGGGGAGCCAGCTCATGGTCCGTCTTCTTTCCGTCTAGTGACAGCCAAAATAGACGATGTGGCCGGAATTGATTACTCGCTGTTGGCACCTCCGGCAGCCACAGCTGAGACCCTGGATGGGCACCTGAAGGTGAGACTTACTCTGAGAATCATATACCCTCCCTCTAGGGGCCTTCCATCGTCATTCGAAACAAATCTTTCAATGACCCCACCCCCTTCTTCTCTGTCCTCAACCACCGCCACCCCCGCTCCACTCTCCGCCTCGTCCCCTGCTCCAGTCACACTGGCCTCCCTGCCATCCCTGAAATGCACTATGCCTGCCCTCTCCCCAGGGCCTTTGCACTTACTGCTCCTTATGCCCAGGAGGCTCTCGCCCAGATAGCCACATAAGCTCAAAGATCCTCTCCCTAGAGATGCCTTCTGAGACCATAGTTGCTGGAATAGCTCCCTCTCCTTTCCACACATCCTGCTTTGTTTGTCTCAGCAGCATTTATTACTAACACACACACACACACACACACACACACACACAGAGTGACAAGTCTGTCTCCCTCGCTAGGATGAAAGAGAAGGGGCTATGGCTGCTTTGTTCTTTACTGTGTGTACACACGTCCATCTTATTATTTTCAGGAGTCACATGGTAACCTATACTGTGGGTGTCATGGCTATTCATTTTCAATGATGAAGTGACTCAAAAGTACAGAGACTATCACATGCTCTCACATAACCACTACCCACATTTAAGAAACGTTACCATTTCGTTATATTTGCCTCTGATGTTTTTGAAATGAAATATCATAGAAATAAATAGCTCAGGCCCCCTTGGGCCCCCTCTCCAAACCTGCCCATCCCACCCCCTGAGGTCATCACACTGATGACGTCAATGTGTGTCTTTATTGTCTGTGTTTTTGTACTTTTACTCCAAACCTATGTCTGTCAATAATTCTTACACAGTATGTTTTATAGGCTTTTAAATCTTATACAAACGGCATCCTACCATATGCATCCATCTACAAAGTGCTTTTGTATAACTCAAAGTTATTTTTTTAGCTAAATAAATGAATTGCTTTTGTAACATGGTGCCAAATTGCTCTTCAGACACATATGAACCTATATCCACCAGCCGCAAACAAACACTCTCACCAAAAACTGGATAGTATATATTTAAAAAACACCCACAACACAAACACAGTTTACCTTTCTCTTTGGAATTATTGTTAATTTGATAGATACAAACAAACAAACAGCACCTGTTGTTCTTTTAGTAGCATGCCTGTGCTTCCTGGCAAGATGGAGGCAGAGGCAACGGAATGGTTGGTAGTGTGCTGCCAGACCCTGGATGCCTGGGGTTCAATTCCGGCCTGCCACTTACCCCCCGAGTGGCCTGGGGCAAGTCTGTTCATCTCCCTGTGCCTCAGTGTCCTCTCCTGTAAAACGGGCACTATCGCACCTGCCTCACAGGGCTGGCAGGAAGAACACTTAGACACTAGCACCCAGGAGGCATCTGATGGCTTCTAGCCATGGCTTTCTCCACTGTGAACTCATGGTTGGTCTCCTCAACCCATTTTTTTCCTGGAATGGACACATTGAGTTCTAACCCCTGAAGGATGCTGGTCTCACTCTGTTGCCTCCACCCCCAGGGGGAGTTTTTCAGTCTGGCCCACCGCAGCCCGCCTCCCTTTGCCCCGCCGGTGCTGACCATCCCCGCCGACCACGACCACATGGTGTACTTGGCCATCTCTGACTACTTCTTCAACACGGCCGGGCTCGTGTATCAACAGGCCGGAGTCCTGAACCTGACCGTCAAGGACGACATGGTAAGGCTGGGCTGGGGGTGGATGCGGGAAGGGGACTCAGAGTGCCATAGATGGTCTGGGTTTGAGTCTTTGTTCTCACTGGGGATGGTCAAGTTCTGGACTCTAGAGTCAGCCCGACCTGAGTTCGAAAATCAACCCCCTCTTTTCCACGTGGGTCACCTTTCAGCCAGTTATTCAACCTCTCAGAACCTCTGTACAACACCAAGAACTGCATCTTCCTCCAGAGGAGGGTAGTGAGGATTAAATGAGATGTAAATGCATGAAAAGCACATGCACAGACTTAGCAGGTAGGAAGCACTCGATGAGATCCACAAGTGACAGCCAGCATTGACGGAGTACTTGCCACATGTCCGGCTCTGTAATCTAGCCTTAGCATCACATCATCGTCGTCATCACCACCCTCATGGTCTCAGTCTATATATTCATGGCTGAGTCCTGCTCTGGGCCTCAGTTTCCCCCTGCGTAAAATGAGGAGATGACCAGCCTCTCCAGAGTCTAGGTGGAAACTAACCCCAACCCAGTCACCAACTGTGTGGGTTTCCTCCTATGCTGCTTCTGGAAGAGATACCAGGTTCTCCCTCTCTGTAGGGGCACCACAGGGGTGCTGAGCCCGCTCCTGTTCCCTGCGGAAATAAACAAAGATCATCCATATGAGAACTCTTCAGAGCAAGGGGGTCAAGCCACCATCACGTGGCCTTTGGCAGAGACTCAAAGGCAGGCAAGGGGGTGGGAAAACTTTATAGTGAGCAAAATAGAGGGCTTCCAGTGTGTTCTTAGGGATGTTATAGATCAGGGGGAAGATGGATGTGGGTTAATAGAAACTGGGCATCCTATGTGATTGGTTTGGGAGCATATTTGACTTGTTCAAGGGCAAAAAACCAATTGGGAAGCTGGCAGTCACTGCCCAGTCCTGGCCATGCTGGGTTGATTGCTGCAGAAGCTGTGGGTCAGCGTTCCATTGTCAGGGAATGTTTGTATATCAGTCTCTCACCTCTCCTATGGAATTTGCCCACCCCAATCTATAACATAATCCCCCAGAATCCTTTTCTCTTCTTCCCTTGCTACAGATTCCAAAGGAATCCAAATTCCGACTGACGACCAAATCCTTTGGCACCCTCGTACCCCAGGTAAACAAAGACCTGCTTCCTGGTAGTCAGCTCATGAAGGGGTGTGGGGGAGCTGGGAGGATGGGGCTCTGATGAGTGGCTTTATGGGAGTCCCCATTCCAGATCCATAGGCAATCCAACCTAAGAGAGTGGCAGTAGCTCCATGTAGCCCATCCCCTACACAGAGAAAGGCTCCCAGTAGCAAGGCACCCAGGTGTGAGGGTGGCTGCTGGGGCTCATTCATTCAACAAGTTTTTGCTTGTTTTTTTTAAAGATTTTTATTGGGGAATTGGGGGAGGAGAACAGACAAGTTGCTGTCCTTTTGTTCTTCAGTATAGTTGTGGAGGACGTCACTTCACTGGCCCATGTTGGTATTGTGATCATTGTGCTCTTCCCAGCTGAGGCAGATCAGTCGCCAGCCACTGGACAGCCGCTCATGGTGGTCTTGGCATGGTTAAGAGTTGGCTTGGGATGCCAGCTCTGAGCAGCAGGGCCCCAGTTCGGATCCCACATGAAGGGCCAGTGACGCTGCCCTCTACAGCTAAGATCGTGAACAACAGCTCGACCTGGAGCTGGGCTGCCCTGAGTTGCCAGAGACAGTGTAGGCTGCAGTGGGTCTGCAGTGGGCTGCCGTAAGCTACCGTGAGTGGCCGGCAGCCAGTGTGAGCGGCTGTAAGCTGCTGTGAGTGGCCGTCCAATGGCCGGCGAGCGACTGCCTCACCCAGGAAGAGCGCAATGATGATACCAACATGGACCAGTGAAGTGACGTCCTCCACAACTAGACTGAAGAACAAAAGGACAGCAACTTGTCTGTTCCCCTCCCCAATTTCCCAACACTCTTCCCCTCCCACTGTCCCCCAATAAAATCTTTAAAAAAAAAACACAAAAAAACAATGGGAAGACATTGGAGGTGTTTATGTGGGGCCACAACAAGATAGGATTTAAAAACATTTCAATAAACTCACCCCTTTGGTTGGCTGTCCCCACTGGGGGGTGCAGGTGGCCAAGATGTTCCCTGACATGATGGTGCAGCTCCTGCTCTGGGCCTCCGCCCCGCCACACCTCACCGTGTCTCCCGCTGGCCTTGCCCTCACCCCTGCTGTGGAGGTCCAGGTTTTTGCTGTCCTCCCGAACTCCTCCTTGGCCCCTCTCTTCCTGCTGGACATGGTAAGCTGTTCCTGGGTGTGGGCAGATGGGGACCCCTGGACGGACAGGGCTGAGAGCACTGCCCTTGGAGTCAGGGGACCAGTGTGACTCCTGCCCAGATTCAAACCTGGACTGTGTGGCTCTAGGGCCTGACATACTAACTGCTTCAGGGTCCTATAGGATTTCATTCATTCAATGATTCATTCTGTTATTGGCTTGAAATATGTGCACAGATTCTGATTCAGTCACTCATATATTTGGTCATTTTAATTATGCATTTGTGTATCGTTCATTTATTCATTCAATTATTAATTTAGTCAATGATTCATTAATTGCTAACTTGAAATATGCTATACCTTTCCTGGTTCATACATACACAATTATTCATTTACTCATTTATTTATATCTTTGTTCAATTAAGCATTCGCTTGTATATGATTGTTCATTCATTCATTCATTCATTTATTCACTCACACATATCTTTGTTTATTCCTTCATTTGTGTTTTTAATCCTTCACTTATTCAAGTTTTTATTCCATTGTTGATTTGTGCATTCATTCAATTGATCACTCAGTCACTTCACAAACATTTGGTAGCACCTGCTCCAGCCACTGGGAGTGAGGGTCAGACTCTCTTGCCACCAGGCAGCCCTCACAGACCTCAGTCAGGTCTGCCCAGTCTCAAGCTGAGACCCCTTTCCCGCACTTTGCAGATTAAATGGGTTCTGAGGGGGTCACCCAAGGTCACACAGACAGCGGGCAGGAAACTGAGCTAGGAACCCCAGTTTTCTGACTCAGTAAATACGTGTTGAATGAATAAATGAATGAATAGCTGCGAGAAGAGGGCTAGCCTGGACTTCAGTCCCGCAGTCCAGCTCACATAGGCCTCAGGAGTAGCCTGGGAACTCTGAAATGGTCTCAGAAGCCTGGGAGAAGATAGTATTTGCTTAACAGTCCAGGACTCATCAGCAAGCACGAAGCAAAAGGGAAGAGTCTTCTCCTTGGCTTCTGTGGGTCTGACCTAGTAGTGTGGGCTCCTCTGACGGCCTCTCTGAAGCTGACCCTCCCAGTCTTGGAGGCCTTCCAGAGCCTCTAGCCCCTGGGTCAGGGCTTCACCTCTTGGGTTGTTCCTTTGCAGAGCACGAACATTTCTGTGGAGGTCGGTGTCAAGTCTGACATGCTTGTTGGAGAGCTCAGCTTGGACGAGTAAGTGGGCCCCTGGGGGTGGGAGGAAGGGGCTGCCCATTCAATCTTAGTGTCCATGGACTAGCCATGACCTTGCAATGTGCCCAGCCAGCACTGTGTCATTGCTTTCCTGATCACCCATCACATTTAAGCTTCAAACAGTGTGCAGAGGGCACAATTGCCCCATTTTGCAGACCGTAAAACTAATGCTCAGAGATGAAGTGGCTTGCCCAAGGCCACACATCGTAGGGCGACCCACCATCTCAGTTTGCCCAGAGTGTCCCAGTTTTTCCCTGAAAGTCCTGCATCCCAGGACACCCCTCTGTCCTGGGCCCACTTGTGGCTGGACAGTACAAGCTGATGATGCCAATCCACACTGAACCACAGCAGCCCCCAGCCACCCCATGTCCCCTGCCTTCCTTGGCACTTGGAAAACCCACTTCAACTTCTTCACCCCCATCCTTGGGACTTCATCAGCCTTCTCCTGCTGGGAGACTCTGGGATCTGTGTGCCTGGGTTTGAATCCCAGCAGAGAAGGTTGTGGTTAGGAGTGCAGGCTCGGACGTTGAGGCTGCCTGCATGTGAAGCACAGCTCATCTTGGCAAGCACCAAACTCTCCCAACTTCAGGGTTCCTGGCTCTAAAGTAAGCCCAATAATTGTTCTTTGCCCACAGCATCATCATGAGGATGAAATAAAGTGCTAATATGTGTTGAAGTGTTCGGAACACTTCAAAGGATAAAATAAGTGCTCAGTAACCAAGAGGGAAAGAGAAAGAGAGACACACAGAAAAAGAGAAATGCAGAAATGGGGGGAGAGATAGCGAGACACTCAGAGAGACAGACACACACAAAGGACAGGAGGAAAGGGGGGGGAGAGAGAAAGACAGAGTGAGGGCAAGAGAAACAGACAGATGGAGAGACACACTAAGAGGGAGCCTCTCAGAGAAAGACAGAGACAGAAAATGAGGGAAGCGGGAGAGATAGAGAGACGGTGATAGACAAAGAAGAGAGAGAGGGAGATGCTCGGAGAGAGTAGATGTGATGACTTCAACATTTAGACCTGGCGCCTACCTCCTAATCACGTTCATGATGTTTAAATTGAGGCTTGACCCACATCCCTGCCCGTACCCACCTTCTCCCTGGCACAGAGCTGTCCTTCTTAACCTTGAGATTGGCTCCTGAGGTTTACCCGCTGCTCATTTCCGGTGGCATCGTTTTGACAAGTGTTACTGCTTTGGAAACATGTGGATTTAATTTTCCTTGAAACACCCGTGGGCCTCTCAAGCAGAGGAGCCGGAGAGGATACAGCTGGGTTATGGCTGAGCACAGACTTTCTGAGATATGCAGGGGGTGGGGGGGTTGAGACTCTATAGGGCAGGAGTCCTGGGGCTTCCAACTCCTGGTGAACAAAAGCAAGTTTTGTGAGTTTTCAAGCTTTGTAGGGTATTGGAGACAACAAGAGCTTTGGCATCAGGGAGATCCATTTGAAGTATTACTTTGCTAGTTGTTAGCTGTGTGACCTTGGACAGGTTGGTTGACCTCTCTGAGTGTCAGTATTCTCATCTGTAACATGGCCTTGAGATGGCCTTTTCCTCTTGAGGTGTTAAACGAATTCATTGGGATAAAGCACCCAACAAGGTGAATGCTAGAGGTTCAGTAAACAGCCATTTATTTCCACCTTTCTCTGAGATCATTGTTAAAATGCCATAAATGCTAGAAAGAAGGCATAATTTATTGGCTCAGGTAATTGAAAAGTTGGAGGGTTTCAGGCAAGGGTATGGGCCAGGCAAATGGTGGTCTCAGCTCCCCAACCCCTTCTTACAGGCTGTTGCTGAAACTGAAGCACTCAGACGTCGGCCCCTTCTCGGTGAGTCTGAGGCCCTTGGTGGCCCCTTCCTCCCACTGATCTTGAAATAATTGTCCTGAGGGCCACTCGTGCTCATGGCATCATTTCAGGAGGCCACTGGTTCATCTGCATATAATTTGCATATGAAGTAATGATGGGAGGGGCTTTGTGGGCAGAGACTTGAGCTGGAATTTGCTGTTCCCGCTTACTCACTGTGGGCCTTGGGCAAGCCACTTCCCCTTTCGGAACTTCAGACCTTCCCCACCAATCAGGGACAACCCTTTCCACTTGAGTTAGTGTGGTGTGGTTTAAATGGGGTTCAGTGTGCACCACCTGGTATGGATAAGCTGCTTGACCAATATCTGTTGAATGAACAAGTAAATTACTTGACTGAGCACCTAGTAGGTGGCAGGCACTGTCCCAGGTGTGGGGATATGCTCGTGAACAAGACAGGGAAACGGCCCCTTCTAGAGCTTTAGGAGAGTGGATTATGGGGGACGAGAGTTAGACTACATGAATCAGTGGGGAGGTGGGTGCATTTGCCCCTGTGAGAGATGATGGGGGCTGGGATTACGCCAGGAAGAGGGAGAAAGATGGCGGATTGGGGACATACAATACTTTGGAAGTAGCATTAGACAGAACTTGGTGAGAGACCGGATGTGTGCGGTGAGGGAAAGGCAATGAAGCATGAAAGGCAGAGTCACTTACTGAGATGGAGAAGGGCAGGTGGGAGGGAGAGGAGCAGGTATCTCACCAGCCCAGGTAGATGACTGTCGTACCCAGAATCACTGCCCATCATTAAGTAGACTTACCTCTGCCTCCTTCACCCAAGGAGGGCGGGTTGCCCACTAAGTAGCCACTCAAACGCCCTTCAACAAACGCCCTGAATAAGCATTACCCTTGTGTCATTAGAAGTCGCAGCAATGTTGATTCTATCCACAGCATTTTACTACATGTGGCCGGAACCTCCCAGGGGGTCTTCTTGAACCCCCGGAGGACATTCCCTTGGATCTCTGAAGTGCCCCCCCAAGGTCCCCACCTAGTGGGTGCCTTGTAATCCACCCAACCCCAAAGTCAGACCATCCCAATGTCCCCTCCAAATCTGATGGAAATCCAGTCAGCCGTTTCCATCTGATGAGATGACCACAAACAGAAGGACCTAAAGCAGCCTCACCGTGGTTTCATGGATTTCCTGGTGCCAAGGCTCCCTTGGTAGCTTGACTCAGTGGTAACTCGCTTCTGCTTCTGCAGAAAATAAAAAGTTTAAGTTTCTAGATTCATGGGAATCTAAACACATTTGATGAGCCCGGAGAATTACAGTCTAGGGAAGGAAACAATTGTTCCAGGACAAACATGTACATATTTCCAAGTAGTAAATGTCACCCCTGCAGTCAATCCTCTTGAGGGTGTTACATTATTGTTGTTTTTTTATTATTATTGCAAAAGCAAAACGTATACATTGTAGAACAATTAGAACCTACATATTTGCAAAACAAAGAAAAAAAAACCATTTCCTATTTTCACCACTTAGTTAATAATTTGGAGGATATCCTTCCTGACCTCTTGCTATGCATATTTAATAACAAAATGGAATTCTGTAGTTTCTACAGCCCATTTTTCCGTACTCAAAAATCTGTCATGAATATCTCTGTGATGGTAAGCATATTTCCACAATGTCATTTATAACTGTTCCATAGCATTTCCTAGTATCAAAATGCCACTAGATGATTCCCCAGGTGTTGGACATGTAGGTTGCTTTTAATTTATTGTTTTGGTTATATTTATCACTCCAGCGAGTATCTAAGTTTCTGCCACACTCTTCATCATTTCCTTAGGATAAATGCCTTAGAGGAGGGTTTGCAGCCCACCAGGCACACACGTTTTTAAGGCTTTTGATGAACATTGCTGAATGGCCCTCTAGCTCGCAGTATCTGAGATGATATTACACAGAGGTTTTCACATTTAAATACTCTCTGCTGACCTTCTTTACCTCTGCCTCGCTCCTTATAGTCTGGAACTTGCTTTGTTTCTGGAAACTTTAGGGCAAAAGAGATCATTTCTGTGAACTTGATCAGGCTACAAGATTTTCACGTCATCACTTGGATCCATCTCTTAGCGGTTTTCCAGCTGAGAGGTTGTCCTGCATGGGAGGGAGGGTGACAAAAGACTGCTGATGCCTCAGTGCCCTGACGTGGGTCCTGTCCTGCTGATTTCCAGGTTGATTTGCTGCAGGCCATCATGAACTATGTGGTGCCCTCTGCTGTGCTTCCCAAGGTGAACGGTAAGGAGCTGTGGAGAAATGATTGATTTTTAGTCCTAGGGAAAGTAGTGGGGTTAATCCCTAGAGCCCCCTAATACCTGGGCCAAGTTGTGGGGGCTGAGGGATAGTCACCTCAAATGAACCTCAAATGGCCTCTCACCCAGAAAAGGAATGGCGAAAAGGGAACCCATGTGGGTGGAGTTCCTATTACATGCCCATCCAATCCTTATGACAGCCCCGTGAGATGGGGGATTATTAATATCTCCAGCTTTCATGGGAAGAGATCGGAGAAGTTAAGACTTATTCCAGGTCACAGAGCAGGTGAGAGATGGAGCTTTGATCCCACCTCAGTCTTTTTCCACTCTGGGAAGAGGGCCAGGAAAGTAGGGTCTCAGCTTAGGGCTTATGGTCTCCAAACTGGTAAAGGCCCCAGGCAGGCGTGCCCCTAACCTTGCAGAGTCTAGGGCAATGGTACACACAGAGATCCACATTAACATGTGACTCGAATATTTAGAAATGATAAATTAAGACAACAAATTATTATAGAGTTTATGACATTCTCCCACCTTAACCAATGTAGCTTCATAATGACCCAGGAGACCAGGGTGAAATTTAGAATTCTCTGGAGTTCCAGTTCAGAGAGTGGTAGTATGGGAGAAGCTAGCCCCTGGCTACCACCGTCTCTGGTTTTATCCTAACATTGAGGGGCTTCAAGTGCACACGAGTAGCTACCCCAATCACATGTCCATGGGCTGTCCACACCCTAGTGAGCAGCCGCCCCTGACTGTCAGTAAGGCCTGGTGTCCACCAGTAGTGCCACCCATCACCCTCGGGAGGGCAGTCGTGGGCAAGACTCCTGCACAGGTCCTGGACGTGAGCTCGTGTGATGGGGCAGAAATGCGAGGGTCCCGGGTCCCTGGAGCATGCTGGAGAACAGGTGGGAGACTCCAGGGGAGGCTTCTTTGCAGGCCTGCATGCCCATGCCAATCCCTACCCAGAGCTGGGCACACAGGTCCAGGGAGGCTCTCTTGGGCTCCCTGCCCTGCCGTCTACCTTCTGATCCTTACCTGAACCTCCATTGCAGAGAGGCTGCAGAGAGGCTTCCCTCTCCCGCTGCCTGCCCACATCCAGCTCTTCAACCTGCTGCTTCAGTCTCACCAGGTAAGTCCCAAGGGTCTCATTTCACCAAACCTGCCACCACAACAGCAACCTGGTGTGGAAAGTGTTCTCTGTGCAAGCCCCGCATCAAGTGCTTTCTACCCTTGCAACAACCCTGGAAGTCACGGACTCGCAGTAAACAGAGAAGGAAGACGAAGACTTAGAAACACCACCCAGCTATTAAAGCCCAGATCCAAAGCCAGGTTCCTGCTTTTAACCATTGGCTGCATCATTCCCACAAGACGCTTCATAAAAATGGAGCTCACTGGGTGGCCTGAACCTCTTTTATAAGGTGGCTGCGTTTAAATATTGACACATGTGTTGCAAGCCTTCCTTTGCAGCAAGCATCCTTCGCAATGGTTCTCAACCTTCCTAAGGCCGCGACCCCTTAATACAGTTCCTCATGTTGTGGTAACCCCCAACCATAAAATTATTTTCGTTGCTACTCTATAACTGTAATTTTGCTACTGTTATGAATCGTAATGTAAGTATCTTTTTGTTTTCCAACGGTCTTAGGCGACCCCTGTGAAAGGGTCGTTCGACCCTCAAAGGGGTCGCGACCCACAGGTTGAGAGCCGCTGTCTAGGTTCTAAAGCGTGGCCAGCATCTGGCAAGTTTAGATACCAGAATGGAAGGCGTCCTCTTGCCTTTCCCCTAGCCTGACCCCCGACAGCATCGGACGCTATTTCCTCCGTCCTCGGGAGATTTCTTCTCTTAGTTTCAAAGAAACCCCTCCCTGTTTTCCAGCCACTATTCACCAGACCTTTGCAGTCTCTCCTTTACTGCTTCCTTCTTCCCCTTCCTTTCCAGAAGGAATTCCCCAGGGTTCCTGCCCAGGCCTCTGCCCTCCCACCACAGTACAGGCTTCCCCTGGCCACTCCCATCAACTCACACTTAACAGCCACCTTTGTGCCACCCAGTAGCTCAGCTGTGCTTCCAGTTTCTTCTCTTGCCAGACCTGTGTATGTGCTAGCTTCCTCGGTGCCCCTAAACCCAGCATGTGCCACAGAAGCTGATGGCTCTGCAACAAAACCTTCACCTCCTGTTGCATTCCTTACCTTGGTCAGTGGCTTTCCTGATAGACGCATGGCCCTTGTGGGAAACCCCTATCACCCTGATTCCTCACTCTTCCTCAATCTCCCTCACTCCCAACGTCCGATCAATCCCCAGTTCTTTAGACCAGGGAACTAAATGGGGCTAAGAGACTATTGGGTCGTCAGAAAAATCATGACGCATTTTTGCAACGAAAAACAGAGAAAAAATACATCATGACTGTTCCGACAACCCAATAGGAAATTAGCTGAGAGAGCAGAGGAAACACGTCCCTTATGTTCCCCACATTTTACCAAGTTCATCCTTAAAAAAAAGAAAAAAAGACGCCATAGCACAACTTAATTTCTTTATTCCTGAAAATTCTAAGTGAAGGGCATGAAGAAGGCAAGAGAAGTGGTTTTGCAGCCTTGACTGGAATAGGGCTCCTTTGAGCTGCCATGAGGCCAGGATGATAAATGAAGGCCCCCAGAGCTGCCCGGGGGTCTCCCCATCTGAGAAGGAAACAGATGCCAGGGAAACTGCCGACAGATTCACAGGCGTTGGCAGCCACTGATGTGCAGACCCCAGAGGCGAAACCCCACGTGCCCCCCACTCATGCCTGCCTTTCTGTCAGCAGAGGCCCCACTCTGCTCTTTCCTTCCAACAGGCAGGCTTCCAACACCCAGCACCCCCACACTCACAAGGGGTGCACTTCTAGCTGATGACAGCGTTCCCATCTCTCCCTAGGATTTCCTGCTGTTTGGAGCGGATATTCACTACAGCTAAAGTCACCATGGGTTCTGGGGCCTGTCAGCCACACCGGGAAGTGAGAGGCTGTCAGCACCCATTCCTGACGGGCCCGTGGGGCACAGGCCACCTTTCTCCAGGCATCCATCTCTAGCTCTTGATCCAGAGATCCTTGCAAGCTTCTCTGAACTCAGGTTCAGAAATGATCTATCAACATGGGGAGACGTCCTTGTTCCTTAGAAACATGTGTAGTGTATATTTTAAGGGATTAAGAGCTTCTTTCAAAGGCTTAGCCTGCACAGATATTTCCTTCAAAAAATTGCATTTTAATTGTAGCCACAATATTTCTCTGTGTGCTTCACACAAAAAAATAAAAAAACACGCTGTTTTTTTGTTTTCCTGTGGAATTCTGTGTGACGGTATTGTTTCTTGTTTCATATACCCAGCATGGCCTGCAGCACCAGTCTACAACACAAATCCAGTCACCTCTTTATTTCTCTAATTATCCTCCTGAGCCCTCACACACCTTTGTTAGTAAAACGTGCCATTGCTCCTTTTTTAGGACACCCCTCATTTCACACTGCGCAAGAGTACTTGGGATTTACTTGGTCCTGTTGTTCCTGCCACTGCCACAAGGTGTCACTGTTGAACACTATCCTGCACAGCCTGTTTTCCCGGCCCCACAGAGGCCCCATGGTGATGGTTCCCCTAGTCTATGCTCTCCTCTCCTGCCCAGCCATTGGGTACAAGGCAGAACACTGGGCCAGGGGACAGAGGCCATTTGGAGTGTTCAGTCAGTCACATCCTCAGCTGCAGTTAGCACCTCCCCATGACTCTCCAGGCTGGTGTAGAAGCCAGAAAACCAGGCCAGACTGTCTGTGGGCTCTTGGTGAGTTTCATCCAGGGCTTTGGGAAATTTCATGCCATGGGACATCAGGTGTGGCTATCTCAGGCCATGAGACGGGTCCTAATAGCATTTTACTTCAAATTGAGCATTCCTGGCAGGCCCCTTTGAGCTGTTGACATTTGGTCTGAGACCAGAGGATGAGGAAGAGTTTGAGGCAGGCAGTGGGGTGCTTTAGTTTTAAGAAATGTTTTGTCGTGACTTTTGAAAGCATCGGAGGGGCAAGAGTCAAAAAAGGTGGGCGCGAGTTATGAACCTGTTGTTGTCATTCAGACTTCATCCAGGTTGGTGATAGTAACAATGGAGAGGAGCATTTGTAATGATGAAAAGCAAGTCAAAGGTATTTAAAATTTTTTATTTTTAAAGAAAAATGTACACGTGTCTGCTAACATCATCAATCCTCTATTAAATGGAGGTAGAGGCTCTGGGGCCACACAGGGGAAGGGAGGGACATTGATCAAGCATAGCACATGAATAATTTCATTTAATCTCTCAGCACTCTCCATCCCCAAAGTGGGACATGTTGGATCCTTTTAGATTGGATCACTCTCCCCGAATCACACAGCTGGCAAGTGGCAGAGCTGAGAGTCCCCACCGTCTCTGCCATCAGGGCCCATGTTCCTTCCACTCCTTCCAGGTGTCAAAGTTTTGTCTGGTTGGCGCTTGGCATGTTTAAGGCAGGACTCCTGTGTTCAGTTGCATAAGTTGTGCACTGTAAAAAAGGCACCAGGCTGAGGGAACAAAATCCTTTCTCTGATTTCTCCACCGAGAGGATGCACCTTTTTCTACTTGTCTAATGGAGGCTCTGAAAAGGAACAGGAAACCAGCCAGTGAGGCTGGAAGGAAGTGAGTGAGTGGAGGAGTACCACATGGGATGAAGCTGGGAGGTGTGGAAGACTCCACAGGACTCTGGATTTTGTTCCAAAAAATATATAAGGGACGCCATTGGAGAATTTTGAGCAGGAGGATGACACAATCCAATTCACATTTTTCAAAAGACCCCTCTGGCTGGAGTGGGGAGCAGAGCTGGTAAGCGCAGAGACACAACCCTGCCTTCCTCCACCCTCACCTCCTCTCCCACCATTCTCTTTGGACATAGCTGGCCCCCTCCCACCCCTACCCTCTACTTTCCAAAACAGTCAGACAGCCCCTGCCCTGCTCTGTAAGGGAAAAAAATGCAATATCTTGCAGCTAAACACTGGTGAGTGGAACGCACTGCGCCCTGGGGACCTCTCTCTAATGGCTGAGAAATAGGCAGCTGTTTAGAGGTGCCATTTGAGGAGCATTCCCCAAGACAACCCAAATTATCTGCCAGGCTGCCTATGAAACCACTATTTGAGCAGCTTCTGCCTTCAGGCTAAGCATTGCCGGCTCCACATGGCGGCTGGTGTGTATGGGGTTTCTTTGGGGGAGAGGGGGGTTGAAAGTATTCTAAAATTAGACTGTGGCGATAGTTGCACAGCTCTGTGAATATAGTAAAAAACCACTGAACTGTACACTTGAAATGGCTGAATGTTATGGTACGTGAACTACATGTCGATAAAGCTGTTAAAAAAACAACAAAAAGAATTGCCCACTCCAGACTGGCTAAAAGCTCACCTTTTAGGCAGCTTCCCTCTGGGTTAAGCATTGCCCCCTTGGGGTTCCTTTTGGAAATGATGACATGAAATACGATGGAGGGGTGCCCTATGTGGGGAGAGGAAGGGGTGGGTCAAGGGGAGACTAATGACTGTGTTGACCATTTTACTGAATCCCATCAATGATCATGAGGGCTGCTGCCCTGGGCCAATCTCTTCACGCTTTTTATCTCATTTAATCCTCATGACACGTCCAAAAGCAAAAGATGGGCCCCCATTTTTCAGATGAGGAGTCTGAGGTTTAGGGAGGCGACATGATCTGCCCAGAGTCACTCAGCTCAGTGTTCAGAGCCTGGGCTGTGGAGTCACCTGGACCTGGTCAAACATCAACCCAGCCCCCATGGGCTGCACAACTTTTCAGGGATTGCTCAGCCTCCTTGGTTCTCTATTTCTTTCTCTGCAAATTAGAGATAAAAAGCTTGCCTTTGTCTTTGGCATGAGGTTGCTGGGAAGAGTCAGCACGTAATTAAGAAGCTCATGGGGTGGTGGTTAGGAGCACGGGCTGCGCTCCCAGGCATCTCGAGTTCAAATCCCAGCTCTGCTATTTACCAGCTGTGTGACTTTGGGTAATTAACTCTCTGGGCTTCGACTTTCTCATCTGTAAAGTGAGGGTAATAGTACCTCCCTCACAGGGTTGTTA